GATGATATACCTACTAGATGATATGGTACCATAAGGAAATTGTATATTATATATAAGTTAGTCTATACTCCGTTCGAGGAACTACGGGATTCCAATTTAGTTTAGCGTTGTAGTGTCCGAGCACAGCGAGGGCAACTACTGCGGATGGCCCGAGGGTTCATTGAAATCCCGTAGTTTCCGAGTATACGAGTACTAACATGTTTAGTGCAGAGCAGACGAATCCGCACACGCACAGCGCCGTTTCCAGGCGACTTTGAATTCGAATGAGCGTGAAGACGCGATTGGTAACTGACTCGAGCGAGTTTCAGCCATCAGCGGCGAGCAGAACACGGTAGCAGAAGCTATATCAGCACCCGCTCGCCGTCCGCCCGCGCTTTCGCGGAAAAAGGGGCGCCGCCCCTCTACGCGCACATAGTCACACATACCGCGGGGCGTGACGTACCGCTAACGCTAGCGTACAGGCGCTTACGTACAGCTAGGCCAGACTCTTGTCTCTCGTGCATACTGTTGAAACTAAAAAGAATTATTGTAGACGATAAGCTACATGTTTCTGTAGAGTATGTATGTGATCTTGTCATTTTGATGTAAACTTTACATGAAAAACAGGTTTACTATGGAGCGTCCAGTTATACTACGGGCAATAATGTACCTCTCTGTGTGACCAATCACATTGCTCGATTAAACCAGTCTTCATGCACTAATATAGGTAGATGCGGAGCCGAGGTGACTACGCGTGGTAGAGTGCCGAGGCTCCCGAGCTGTCGGCGTCCCGAGCGCAAGCGAGGGCGCTACTAGGGAGCCCGAGGCACTCTTACCACGCGTAGTTACCGTGGCGACGCGTCTAACCGGTTTAGATCCATTTCAAACTGTTTGCGAAGATATGGCCGCGCCAGGCGAGCTGTTACTATCTTGTCTAGACCAGGAAGACTCCGAGAAGGAACTCGACATACTCATGCTCGCCGCGAGCCGATCCTCGAACGCTCTGGCAGATACGTGCGCGTAGAGTGGGCGGAGCCCTTTTCCGCGAAACGCGGCGGACGACGAGGGAATGCTGTAGCTTTCACCTACCGTTTCTGGCTCGCCGCTGGTAGCTGAAACCTCGCTCGAGTCTCTTACCTATCGCGTCTTCACGCTCGCTCCCCAATAGATCCCGTCGTCCGGGGCAGCGGGATCTACGGAAAATAGATCCCGCGTTTGGACCAATGAAATTGCGCGATTTCAAATCACCGGGATCTAAATTGGGTTATTGTCACTTGTGCATGTACAGTGCAGACATGAATTGTATTTTTTCACTTCTGCAATTTCCTCACATACCTTGGTTGTTGCCTGATTGACATCAGCTCCTGCTTTCACCAGAAACATCCACCACCTCAGTGTGTCCCTCTTGACTGGCAACATAGAGTGGACTGGCACCATCCTGTACAGTGGGAGAGAAGTATTGAGACATTCCTGACTCACTACTGACCACTCCTCTCCCTCCCTGGACACCAGGAGACCTGACAACCATCTCAGTCAGGTCTCCTCCTCATCCAACCTTCACAAGTCTATATAGTCTACACTTCCTATTAGCTATGATTATAATAGAGACCATCATAGCTAATAGGAAGTGTTGATAACATTATGAAAGCGACAAGCATTGGATCATTATCTAGTGTAGCACTATAGCTACAAGTATTAAACTAGTTTGTTACAAAAAAGCGACAGTGGCACAATTCCTGAGTATTTGTTGTCTGGGCTGCCTTTGTGACCAAATAATACTTTGCCACCCTACACATGGCTCCTCCCATCTAATTACCCACAGAGTGCTTGGGTGAGAGGAGGGTGTTGCCACTCCCTCCTGCACTGAGTACAATCACAGGGACTAAACCCTGGAAGTAATTGAGCCCGGTCCATTAACTGAAATATGTATCCCTGGGAATTTGGGAAACTATCAGTTGTTGAGGAAGGATTTGTCAAACAATCACTCAGACCCAGACTTCCCACATGACATCAACAACACAAAACTTGCACTTGTGCGCATGCCGTGTGCAGAGATGCACGTATGAAAAAGTATGTTGATTATGACAACCAAAAACCTCAACCTTGTTCTGGTGGTTGACGTTGGCTCCGGCCTTCAACAGTCTCTGAACTATCTCAGTATGTCCATTCTGGGCAGCTATCACCAGAGGAACAGCACCATCCTGATGAGAGAGAGAAACTGTGAATTGTGAAGTTCATTTGATGTGTTCAGCATTGGCAGGTCAGTGAGGACCAGACACATCAGAGTGTGGTTTCAGAGGATCAGGGAATGAGACACGACACTAACCAATACTCAGACAATAAAATGTGTCAGAACACAGACGTGCAAATGGAGCTATAAAAAAGAGTAACAATGCTGCGTTCTCAGGAAAACCGAAAGAAAAAAGTGTAAATTCTGTATGAAGGGTGAGTATGGGATGTAGTAATGTTACAGGATAGGGAATGAGACACGACACTAACAAACACACAGACATACAATACATTAGAACATGATAGCTATTAAGTATGTTGATTTTGACAACCAAAACGTCAACCTTGTTCTGGTGGTTGACGTTGGCTCCTGCCTCCAACAGTCTCTGAACTGTCTCAGTGTGTCCATTCTGGGCAGCTATCCCCAGAGGAACATCACCATTCTGATGAGAGAGAGAGAAACTGTGAATTAATCAGTTCAGCATTGGCAGGTCAGTGAGGACCAGACACCTCAGAGTGTGGTTTCAGAGGATCAGTGAATGAGACACGGCACTAACAAACACACCGACATACAATGCACCAGAACATGGTAGATATGGCTTCTCAATTTCGTAAAAGTGCTGCGTTCTCACGAAAACCAAGAGGAAAAAGTACGAGTTCCATAATTATGAAGGGTGAGTATGGGATGTAGTGTTTCCTAAAATGTTAGCTACACTGTGTATCATACCTAGCTGATAGTAGAGTGAGACAACGGGAAACTAGACCATTATTGTGGGATCAGACACATACTTGTACACATACATTCTTGCATCCACTTGTGTAGTATGCAAATTGCATCGCAGGTTTACACACATTTTAGTGACATGTGTTGCACTAACAAAAGTGCTTGACAGCTTTGTTGTACATACCAATCTCAGTGTTGAGGTCTAGTCAGAGCTCTTGGCTACACCACTGCTACCATGGTTGGTGGACAAATGAGATGACTAGCTCTAGAACAACTGTGTATCATACCTTGGTGGTGGCCTGGTGGACATCAGCACCAGCCTCTAGCAGAATGTCCACTACATCAGAGTGTCCTTCATGACTGGCAACATAGAGTGGACTGAAACCATCCTGTACAGTGAGAGAGAAGGAAGTAGGACACCACTAGTGAGGTAGTCTGGGACATGTAGCTACCAACTGAGTTTGCTGAGACTATGGTTAGCAATTGCCTAGCAACCAAATACTATAATTACCCTCGGCGCGCATGCGCAGCGAGGGTACTGTAGTTGGGTTTGTCTGTTTCTGTCTGTCTGTTACTCTCAATCTCACTTCTCGAATGTCTGTTCGTCTCACAAACGATACGACCTACTTAACGGGCAATGAAGGTCAGAAAATAGAGGCGGTTTTCTCTGAAAATGCTTCGTTGCAAAGCTAGAGCGCTTCCGCCATTGTACGGCTAATGCTAGTCGGCCATTTTTATCGCTGCGGAAAATGCGCATGCGCCTATATTTTGAACAGGCTCGGGTCCACTTGTTCTGTGTATCTTGAAGGCACGAGAAGTCACAACGAAGGGCGTGTATCGACTCCCACATGCCATCTACTACTGTAGCTAGCCCGTGTCAGACGCTACTAGCGGGAGACCACGAGTATACTAAATACCTACCAACCATCCAGCTTTTTGTTTGATAATCAAGCAAAAATACTGCCTATCCCACCAGAAAATCACCAAATCCCTCTCTTTTGTTCTAACCTGTGATGCATCATGCCCATACATTAAGAATGGACACGCAGCATTTTCAAGCAAAACCAATCCAAATCAAGCAAATTTAACACATTTCTCAAGCAAAGGTTTATCTGCAGGTTGGTAAGTATGATACTACATACAAATAGCAGCCCAGCCCATCAATTAGCGGTACCGCACATGCCCAGTTCGCCGAGGGTTTGCACTTTAGTGCTTTTCATTTCAGGCTGCAGGAATGGGTTTGCAAAATAAGACCATGATGAAAGGGGATCACCGGCTAGCAAAGGTGTTGCATTTCCTTGATTGTTGGCCCATGTATCTCACTAATGGAAAGGTAATGTAACTACTACATACACTTCCATGAAACCTTCGTTGTACTTGTCTATATACAGCTTCTAGCGAGACTCTCTACTGCAGACACACACATTAACAACCCTACACTATCTCCTGAAATGTTACACTGTGTATTATACCTAGCTGATAGTAGAGTGAGACAACGGGAAACTAGACCATTATTGTTGGATCAGACACATAGATCTACAAATACAACTGCATCTTTTCAAGTAGCAATTTATTCTCGTATGCACATGTGTATATACACTCACTGAATGTTTAGACACTTTTAGTGCCTTTTAGTGATACGTTCCACTACTGTTTATACCTACAGCATAAAAAAATTAAGAAGCGCTTGACAGCTTTGTTGTACATACCAATCTCAGTGTTGAGGTCTAGTCAGAGCTCTTGGCTACACCACTGCCACCATGGTTGGTGGACAAATGAGCTGACTAGCTCTAGAACAACTGTGTATCATACCTCGGTGGTGGCCTGGTGGACATCAGCACCAGCCTCTAGCAGAATGTCCACTACATCAGAGTGTCCATCTTGACTGGCACATAGAGTGGACTGGCACCATCCTGTACAGTGAGAGAGTATGAAGTGGGGTTTACTTCCAGTCTGGAACATGTAATTACGTACCAACAGTGTTTGCTGACATGCATGGCTATTTGTTAGCCATTGCCTAGAAATCAATGCACTAATTTCAGACAACTGGAGGGTGTGGAAAGTAAGCCCATGATAAAAGGGATCACCAGTTAGCAAAGTTGTTACATTCCCTTGACTGGGGTGCATTATTCAGCTCTGAAGCTTGTGCAGATATCATGTTACATCCAACGCCACCTTGTATCAAACTTCCCACATTTTTATGGCTAGCCTCAGCCTCACTACTCCATTGACAACCCGACAGCGCTGAGTACACAATCAGTATGAGGCTAGTAGTAAATTATTATGGCTCTGTCTCATCGACCCATTGCACAATAATCCTACAATTACTCACCAACTTTTTGGATTATTATATTTTTACACTGTATATTGGCTTGAAAGTTTTAGTCCACAGCAATCGACAGGAGTATTTTAGGTCAACAGATGAGACATGAGAGTGTCCGAAACAACTAGTTTGCAGTTTTACTTAACCAGCTACAGAGAGTGTAACAACTGTACAATACCTCATCACAGATACTGATGTCAGCTCCATTCTCTATCAGCAGTTTAACTACAGCTGTATGACCCTTCCAGGAGGCAAAGTAGACTGGAGTCTGGCCATTCTGTAGAGAACATACAACAGAACACTGGACATGGGACATGGTGTGAGGTGAGAACAGAAATTGTCAGTCCAATTTATAACAATATAACATGAATGTGGGGAGTTAATGCGAGAGTTAAACCACACAATCGCGACACGCGGCGATTGCATATTTTAACTCCATTTTGTTCATTTCAAGTTAAGTAAAACTTTACAGTATATGTGTGAGCCCGGAGCCCGGTCCATTAACTGAAATATGTATCCCTGGGAAACTATCAGTTGTTGTGGAAGGATTTGTCAAACAATCACTCAGACCCTGACTTCCCACATGACATCAACCACACAAAACTGGCACTTGTGAGCATGCCGTGTGCAGAGATGCACGTAGGAAAAGTATGTTGATTTTGACAACCAAAAACATCAACCTTGTTCTGCTGGTTGACGTTGGCTCCTGCCTCCAACAGTCTCTGAACTGTCTCTGTATGTCCATTATGGGCAGCTACCCCCAGAGGAACATCACCACTCTGATGAGAGAGAGAAACTGTGAATTGTAGAGTTCATCATTGCAGGTCAGTGAGGACCAGACTCCTCAGAGTGTGGTTTCAGAGAATCAGGGAATGAGAACATGACACTAACCAATACTCAGACAATACAATGTGTCAGAACACAGACGTGCAAATTGAGCTATAAAAAGAGTAACAATGTTGCGTTCTCACGAACACCAAGAGAAAAAAGTACGAGTTCCGTATGAAGGGTGAGTATGGGATGTAGTGTTTACTAAAATGATACACTGTGTATTATACCTAGCTGATAGTAGAGTGAGACAACGGGAAACTAGACCATTATTGTGGGATCAGACACATACATATACACATAAATTCTTGCATGCACATGTGTATTATGCAAATTGCATCGCAGGTTTACACACGTTTTAGTGACATGTGTTGCACTAACAAAAGTGCTTAATTGACAGCTTTGTTGTACATACCAATCTCAGTGTTGAGTCTGTCAGAGCTCTTGGCTACACCACTGCCACCATGGTTGGTGGACAAATGAGCTGACTAGCTCTAGAACAACTGTGTATCATACCTTGGTGGTGGCCTGGTGGACATCAGCACCAGCCTCTAGCAGAATGTCCACTACATCAGAGTGTCCTCTTGACTGGCAACATAGAGTGGACTGAGACCATCCTGTACAGTGAGAGAGTAGGAAGTGGGGTTTACTTCCAGTCTGAAACATGTAATTACGTACCAACAGTGTTTGCTGACATGCATGGCTATTTGTTAGCCATTGCCTAGAAATCAATGCACTAATTTCAGACAACTGGAGGGTGTGGAAAGTAAGCCCATGATAAAAGGGGATCACCAGTTAGCAAAGTTGTTACATTCCCTTGACTGGGGTGCATTATTCAGCTCTGAAGCTTGTGCAGATATCATGTTACATCCAAGGCTGCCTTGTATGAAACTTCCCACATTTTTATGGCTAGCCTCAGCCTCACTACTCCATTGACAACCCGACAGCGCTGAGTACACAATCTGTATGAGGCTAGTAGTAAATTATTATGGCTCTGGTCTCAGCCATTGCACAATAATCCTACAATTACTCACCAAACTTTTTTGGATTATATATTTTTACACTGTATATGGCTTGAAAGTTTTAGTCCACAGCAATCGACAGGAGTATTTTAGGTCAACAGATGAGACATGAGAGTGTCCGAAACAACTAGTTTGCAGTTTTACTTAACCAGCTACAGAGAGTGTAACAACTGTACAATACCTCATCACAGATACTGATGTCAGCTCCATTCTCTATCAGCAGTTTAACTACAGCTGTATGACCCTTCCAGGAGGCAAACCAGACTGGAGTCTGACCACTCTGTAGAGAACATACAACAGAACACTGGACATGGGACATGGTGTGAGGTGAGAACAGAAATAGTCAGTCCAATTTATAATAATATAACATGAATGTGGGGAGTTAATGCGAGAGTTACACACAAGCACGACACGCGATGATTGTAAATTTCAACTCCATTTCAAGTTAAGTAAGACTTTACAGTATGTGTGACAGTAGCTTCCTTGTTTTCATACATACTGTATGAAAAGCTGGATTCAAAAGTAGGCTCACTTGGCTCACCAATTATGAGCCTATCTCTATAGACTACTGCATGTGAGCCTGGGAACAGGGCTATCCATAACCTTGTTCTGGCGGTTGACGTTGGCTCCTGCCTTCAACAGTCTCTGAACTGTCTCAGTATGTCCATTCTTGGCAGCTATCCCCAGAGGAACACTGCATTTTTCCTGCATGGAAAGAGAAGTGGTCAATTGAATTTGGCCACATTTATGCAAACAAACTAATCAATACACGTTGACTGTAAAATAATGCTACATTACTACACAAGGTTTTCACTAGCCACAAGGAGGATCAGGGTCTTACGTACTGCAAGATGACATAACTTTGATCATTTCATGGACTTGTTTTGAGTCTACAAGGAGCAAGACACAGAGGTAGGAGGTGCTGGAGGATCACCAATAGGAGGGCTGGTCCCCCAATCTTCTTGACAAGCTTGCTTTAACTACTATTGTACCACTGCATCATAATTACAAGAAACACAGTTGACAACATTTACCTACTGGATGATTTGGTACCATAAGGAAATTGTATATTGGGTTATTGTCATGTGTGCATGTATAGTGTGCAGTGCAGACATGAATCCATCGCCTGCGCGCATGCGCAGCGAGGGTTATTGCAGTTGGTCGACCGGTCTGTGTGTGTGTGTGTGTGTGTGCGTGTGCCGTCCGTTTGTCCGTCTGTCCACGTTTTTCTCGGTAACCGCGGCAACTAGGAGGAATGCACGGTAAAATAAGATTCTGGAGCGGAGAAGGCCGGGGAAGCTGGTGAAATGGACGGCTGCTGAGGCGGTGAGTGTGCGTCAAATAGAGATCGCGAACCATCGTTGTACTTGTAGCTATAGATGCTAGATGCTTTGCGCGTGTGGAGAAGATTTGCTGCTCTGCCTGTATTGACGTACAGTTGAGTAGGATCGAGATTGCCGGTGAAGCACATGCCAGTGAATCCGTTCAGTGAAGGAGTCACTGAGGTAGTGTAGCTGGCTGAAGGTTGTCAAGACCAGTGCTTTTCACTTTGCTGTAGTAGTAACTAGTATTGAACGCGCATGTGCCAAAAACTGCTGAAACAAAGAATAAAGTGGCGAGGGTTATGCACTTTCAAGTTCACTTGAATACAAACACAACATTTCCTCACAAAACCTTGGTTGTTGCCTGATGTACATCAGCTCCTGCTTTCACCAGAACATCCACCACCTCAGTGTGTCCCTCTTGACTGGCAACATAGAGTGGACTGGCACCATTCTGTATAGTGAGAGAGAACTAATGAAACATTCCTGACTCACTACTGAGCACTCATCTCCCTCCCTGGACACCAGGAGACCTGACAACCATCTCAGTCAGGTCTCCTCCTCATCCAACCTTCACAAGTCTATAGTCTACACTTCTCACTATAGGCTAACAGTGAAAACCTCACATACTGAAGAACGATAAGTTAATACGCTAACAACAACACTGTGTACATAAAGACAATAAACAGAACAGT